AAAATAATAAAAATTTTGCATGCTTAACTCAGAGTTAAAAATATTTTTTTTCAAGTTATCTTGATTTACACACTTTTTTTTTCAAACTATATATACTTACACATATATATTAAAAAAACATTGGTCCAAAACTTGTTAAATGGTCACTTAGAAAGCCCGTTAAAGTAGAAAAAAAAATCACCAAGGATGAAAGAGTTAAAAAAAATTTTAATAAATGTTTTACGGTTGTATATATGGTCTTGGAAAATATTTTAAATCAAGCAACTTGAAAATTATTTAAAACAAAGAGTTAGCATGTTCTTTTCAAAACTTTTAAATTAAATTTCTAAGTTTGGCTTGGTTTTGTATTGCTACAATGAGAATATTTTCTTGAAAATATACCTTAGAGTTATATATAAAAATGTTTTCTTGAGTGATAACTGGCTCCAATTAGATTATCTAAAAGTTATCAAGTGAATTTAGTTATTTACTGACTTATTTAACTTGGCAAGTTGACCGAATTTTGTGGGTATATTCACTGCAAACCCTCACGAGACTACAACTCGTCCACTAGGGTAACCTAGGGGTTTAAAGGCTTGTTGTATGCGCTAAATACAACCGCGATTCCTACGAAAGTGAGTTAGGATTTTCTTTTTATTTTGTTTGCTAGAGGACTAGCAAAAGTTTAGGTATGGGGGTATTTGATAATCATATTTTATTATAATTTTATACCATTATTATCTATTTTATATGAATAAATATACCACTAATAATTGCTTTTATCTTTAATTGCAGGTTAATGAAGAATAAGAGCCCAAACTCTCATCTCTCAACAAAAAGCCCTCGATTTAATGAAGAAATGAAGCTCATGAAGCCAAAGGAATTCTTTCAAATATTTAATGAAGAAATAATTCAAAGCCCAATGGAAAATCAAGAGAAAATGCCAAGCCCAAAAGTCCAAGCCAAAGCCCAAGATACAAGCCCAAAAGCCAAATACAAGAGTTCTGCGGACAGCAACCAGAAGAAGGCAGGCATCGATGCCTGCATCGATGGGGGCATCGATGCCTACATCGATGCCTGCATCGATACCATCGTACAGTTTGTTATAGATCTAAGGCTAAAATTTATTATTTTTGGATAAGATTTCAATCCAATGGCTCTCATTCACTGATGTTTACTATAAATAGGGGTAGAGAGTGAGGGGTTAAGGGTGTAAAAAATTTTGTAACTCTATTTGGAGAGGAGGGTTACTCTTAATTGAGAAGATCTTTCAAAAATTGTAACTTTAGTTGCAATTAATAATAATAATTTTTCTCCACTTTAAATTTTCTTTTCTCCTCTTTGTTGAATGATGAGGATGGAGATGAAGAGCAATTTGAAGGTTTGCATTTCTTTTATTTTCCTCTTTTATTTCTTTTTTGTAATTTCTTTATTATTGCTTATTAGTTAGATTTATATTCATGCTTGTAGTGTAGATTTATTTTCTTATCTTTTTTTATTTCTTTTTACACTTTAATTTGTAGAGTAGATTTATTTTCTTGCATTTAATTTCTGCAATTTATTTTGTAGTTTAGATTTTTATTCTTTGTAGTTAGATTTATTTTTTGTTCATAGTTTAGATTTTTCTTTTCTTTTTATTTTTGTAATTAGTTTTTTTTCTTGTTTTTATTTCTTAAGATGTGAAATTAATTCTTGTAGGAATCTTAGAATTGTATAAAACTAGTCTAATTTCCTTTATATTGTATGAATTATTCACTTTCACTTAAAATGTTCATGTTTAGGATAATCAACTAGAGAACTAATCAGTAGAAGAAGAATTTGATAATCTATACTTATCTTAAATGGTTTGATAGGTTATGCTTATGAATTCTAGGATTATTATCTTATTGTTGTTCTTATCATGAAGAGTAATTTTGACTTAGATGATAATTTGATAGGTTATACTTTCCTTAAATGGTTTGATAGTCTATGCTTAATAAATCTAAGTTGAATTATGATAAAAGGAGAATAGTTTGTATTTTGTAATTAAAATTAGCTAGTGGATTACATTCTAGATTTCTTACCTCTTTTGAATCCTCCATCTTAACTTTCTTAAAATTTCTTTTCATTCTTGGTTTTATTTCTTGATTTTATTCATTCTTCTTTCTTGCATTGTGATTTCATTTATTCTTTGCTTCTTTCCAAATTCAATTTATTATCTCTTGCATATATTCACAAAAATCACTCATCACATCTCTCTCCATAATCACTATTATTCTTTATTTCTAATTGTCACGCACAAAATATAAGAACCAATTCTAATAATCTCTTAAAATCGCCTTCCTCGTGGGATCGATATTTTTTATACTATAACTTGATCAATTATGCACTTGTAGTTTTGGTACATAATTATGCCACATCAATAATTTACGAGTATAGGGTGATATTATGCAAGTATAGCGGGATAGTCTAAAATATAGCGTGATATTTTGAAAGTATAGCTTGATAATATGTAATTCTAGCATGATAATTTGCGAGTATTGGGTGATGTTACGTAAGTATAGCGTGATAATCTGAAAGTATCATGAGATAATTTGAAAGTATAGCGGGATAATCTAAAAGTCTAGCCGGATAATTTGTGAGTATACAATGCTATTATGCAAGTATAGCAAGATAATATGCAAGTGCAAAGTCATACCAAACAAATAGGTAAACAATCATAAAAAACACATAACAAATACATATCTTACGTTGATCCAAAAGTATAGCACTTACACAAAAGTATGACACCTTACTACAAAAGTATGGTTACTTACCTGTTCCAACATTTATATTACTAGTTGGGATGCACGTGCAGTGCACGTGGTCAGATATTATAATTGTTGATTTTTAGTTTATGTATTTACTAAAACATAGTTGTAAAAAAGATTATGATTATCATAATATATTAAAAGGTTTCAGATATTTCAATATATAAAATCTTATTGGTTTCAGCATTTTACCTTCTACATAATTAGTAAGGTTTAAAGTCTTAAAATATTAATGATCCAAGAGCAATTTAATTATTTGGAATTCTAATTTTAAAATATTAATGATGTAAGCACCAATTTCTAAAAAAACTATTATTAATAACATATAATTATCTATTAATATATTATTATACATTACTAATAATTAATATGATGTAGAGTTTTACAAAAACATTAAAAGTTTCAAGGACCAAATTATACGAACTTAAGTGACATATAATATAATTAATTAACAATGATAATTAATTTAGTTTAATTAGTATTAGAATATAATATCAAAAAATAATAGGGGTAATATAGTCATTGGAAAGTTTTTCTACAACTCCCTCTTTTAAAGGGAGTATGATAAAGCTAATTTTGTCTGAAATTGGTTGTCTACATGTGTTATGGTTGTGGTCGTATTGTTGACACCAAAAAAAAAAATTATTTCCTCTAAAATCCGTCAATGCACAATACAATTCTTCATTCATCTATGTTTGTCACCAGAAAGAATCAAATTTAACTAACAATAAAATGAGTGGTTGAGAAATTAATGTGAAATAATAATGTGAAATATTTAATGTGAAATAATAATGTGAAATTAATGAGTGGTTGACTAAATCAAATTTAACTAAAATTTCATCAAATATAACAAATGTAACTAATTTTTATGAACTCATGAATAATAATGTGAAATAATTTCCATGAATAAAATGAGAAATTAATGCTATAAATTAAGTAGTTGAGTAAAATACAAAAATATACCTTAAATTAAAATGATGAATCTCCGTCACAATCAAGAAACAACACCCTACGCATTAATGAAGTTGAGATTTAATTGACGGATCCATAAGAGTGGTTGAGAATTGATTGATGGGTTTAGAAGAGTGGATGAATGAAAGAATTTTAGAGAGAGGGAATCAACTGAGAAATTGAGAGAGAGAGAGAGAGAGAGAGAGAGAGAGAGAGAGAGAGAGAGAGAGAGAGAGAGAGAGAGATGTGTTTTCTCGCGTTTTGCTTCTCTCCCGTGCCTAACCGCATTAAATGCGACGTGAAGGCGCGGGGAGAAAACAGCAAGAACCCCTGTTTCTCTTTCTCCTCAATTCTTAATTTATTTAGTTTTAAAATATTTTTAAGGGGTCCACATAAATAAGAACACATGAGGTATGAGGGAAGAGTATAATTGGATTTTTATTAAAAACTTATGAGGAGATCACATATGTGTGTATTGTATTTTAGAAGTTGGGTTTAGAGAAAATTACATAAAGTTATTTGGGTTTATGATACAAAAATAAGTTATTTGGGTTTATGATACAAAAATAAGTTATTGGGTTTATAGATAAAACATGGTAAATAATTGTGCCTAGAAACAAAAACCCCTTTTATTTTGGCATTTTGTATAGGTTCTATCAGCTGTCTCCTTTCGCCCAAACCAAAAAATTTCCATCTACTTCCCCCAATACTTTTTACCCTTTATTTTTTTATTAGAATTGACAAGTAATTTTTTGAATTGCAAAAATTACAATAAATGTAATAAAATACTATCACATTATTGATCTGTTAAATGTTTGACTGTGGACTAAGAAAATGATCATATTGGACTCATACATGTAGTTTAAGAAAATAGTTAGAGAAAGTTGAGAGTTCACCAATATTTGATGGATCTATTCGGGAACTGGGATTTAGACCATAGTTTTCAAATCCAGGATTTAGACCAAATCCAAATCTTTTGTTTGGTTATTTGGTCATGAGGGAAGTGCCTCTGTTTAGCCCAAACCCAAATCTTTTGTTTGGTTATTTCGTCCCGTGGGAATTACCTCTATTTCCCCGATCTTGCCAATCAATTATGGGGAAGAATGAGAACAACTCAAGTTAGATCACTAAGCATGCAAGCAAGGTGTTCGCAACCCTTGATGAATCAGGTGACAAGCAACTTAGGCATTGCCCCTACTAGTTATTGGTTTAACGTCCTATTGTGAAGGGAGAAAATCGAAGTATAGAGCAACTACTTGGAAAAAAAGTGCCTTCACCATGTAATCCAATAAATAGGGTTTGATTCATCAGAGTTGCACAAGAAATGGTCAGGTACGAATAGAGTTGATGAGGTAAACAATATACACACTATGTATCTGTCGAATAAGTTTGAACTACATCAATTGTTTGTAGTTCAAGATGTCATAGAACAACAAAAACACAACCTAATTCTTCATACAAGATTGTATTTTCTATGAAGGAGAAGATTATGGAGAGCCTCATCAACTATGCAGCCTCAGGCTCAAGGTTAAGGTTCGAGAGGGATTTGCTTAAAGATTCGGCAGGATCCTGAGCCTTCTTAATTTCCTCTTTGTCTGAGAGAGGTTCATGAATGGGAGGCCTGGGCATTTCTTCATCTGCAAGCTCCATTTCTAGTTTCTTGAACTCATCTTCAACGTCTTCATCCTCGAGATCCACGAATTGAAGTGGCATAGCTTCTGCAATAACAGAAGCATAAACTTAGAATACAAGACAAAAATGCTGAGCAAAATGCAAACGTCGTCTTTCTCAATTAAGCTCCAGATACAAATCATATTTTCTTTCCAAGCTATGTTTTTCGGTGTTTGGACATGCTGAGTGAAGTGAATGGTATGCCATTGAAGTAAAAAAAAAACTATATATTCTAGAGTAAAGCAGTAACACATCGTAGAGGTAAAAAAACAAGATACCTAGAGCCTCATTGACTTGCTTCTGTGCTGTAATACTCTCGTCAAGTTCTTGAAGATGGACGTGAACTTCTTCCACAGTAATTTTATTTTCCTTGATCACTTGAGCACCAATTTTGATGGCCTCAGAAACCTGTAAAGAGAAAGGGCTCATTAATGCTGCCTCATCAAACTCACAAGACATGAGAAGGAAGAAAGAAGCCTCTGATTTGCTAAGAAACGATCTTTACCTTCTTGGTGGATTCAGCATCTGCAATGATTCTGAGAACTTCTTCCACCCGCTCCAAAAGTGATGTGCATTTATCTCTGCTTTCAGAGAACAGTTTTGATTGCCTAATATGCCTATAAGCAGCTTGTTTATTCCCTGACTTGATGGAAGCCAATGCCAGTTTCCTAGAACTGCAAAACAATAGGGCTATAAGATGACAGTAGAATGTCCTCAATGTGTATTGAAAATATACACCATATCCCACAATGGAAAGGAAGGGAAGACGATTGAGGTTAGCTGCTCATTGAAACAACACCTACAATGAGTCAAACCAATCCCAGTAAATTGTAACACATGTTTACAGTGAAAGAAATTCAATTTATGATGTCAATGCATGTATTCTCCTGTTTACTTGAGAAATTTTTTTCATCTAACAGTAACAGACTATTATCAAGAATGGAGAAGTTTACGTTTCCCAGCGTTGATCAATCACATCAAGCTGTTGCTGTAGCTTTTCAACCGTCCAGATCAAGTGCAAAGAATGATAGTCAAGACTGGATAAATCAGGACAAGATGCTGGCACAAGCGAAAGTTTCACACCCTGAAGACAGTAACTGAACTAAGTAGTAGTCCAGGAAAAAGTCTGTAATAAGAAATAAAACATTATGTAACAACATGACAAGTGTATAATCACTATAATCAAAAATTTAATCATAGGTAACCACCTCTATAAAGTCATCCTTTCTAATTGAGAAATATCGTGCTTTTCCACATCCACATAAGTAACTCAAGATTGCAGAAGCTTCGGCAGAACCTTTACAGATGTTCCTAAACTTTTCCATTGTAATGATACATGTAGATGTCCAGTTGCTCTCAGATAAGGTCTTGATAATATCGCAAGCTTTTTCCTGTAGCGAATAAAGAAGAGAGACAAGAGAATGTATTACAGAGTTTTTTAGACTTGGAATCATATAAGACCAATAAATATTGAATTATGGTGCATACCTCAAGCAGTGTCTTTAGGATGAGTGTATCATCGGCACTCTCTTGTAAAGAAAATGATCCGAACTTGACTATTATCTGCTGAACTCTTCTTAGCATTGAGTACATTCTCCCACTGGTTGGATCAACTAGACCCCCTTTGGATAAAATGTCCCCACTAACACACATTTCTTGCTGCAGAAAAAGAGGGCGGTAAGAAATAAAGACAGGTAAAAGTCTTACGTGTTGATAAAAAATAACTAATCACCCCACAGAAAGGCATTGACAGCTAACATGATAAGGAAGCAGACTGCAATACTAAAATTATTCAATCGGTCAAACATATTAGTAAAGTTTTACAACATTATGGTTCTCAAGTATGAAGCAACCAGAGGTAGTACATAATAAGGGGAAAATAATTCCTGCAATATCTTAGGGTTTAGTCGTATGTTCTCTTTTTACAACCATGGATAACATGTGTTGCTGTGACTAGATTCCACAACACGGGAATGTTGTATAGCATGTTTAAGTCGTTCCTTGACCTTCATGGGCAGTTTATAGTGATAGAAACAGCCAGTGTTACCTAATCCACTCCACACCTGCCTGAGAATCGTGTTCCAATTCATGTCTGTTCTGATTCATAGTACGTTCCTGATCTAGATTTGCTGAAATGGATGACACAAGAAACTAAAAGAAAAACACTAATACGTTATTGATCTAATGAGCTCTTTTGATGTGCTTAGCAGCAGTGTTTGGGCTTCCTTATACACTTAATATACGCATATCAGTTTTCAAGATTGACATAATGGTTTTAAAGTTTGGAAACAACTATAATTGTGTCATGATTTTTAATTCAAGGGGTTTTATTTATATTTTGAGATTAATGTCAAGGGGTTTTATTTATATTTTGAGATTAATGTCAAGGGGTTTTATTTATATTTTGAGATTAATGTCAGACAAGGTATTTTTCTTTACAAATATTAAAAGATAAAAACTTTCGTCATCATAACCCTTAATTTTACTTGTCAGGTCTTCGAGTTTACACATGTCTCTTCTTCACGTAAACAATAACTGTTGAAGTGAGTCAGGCAAATTTATCTTTCTACTATGTATCCTCTAAGGGAATGCACCCTGTACCCTGTGACCCTACTCAAACTACGAGCTAAAGCACACAACGACTCTGGCAACACTATACATAGTTTGATCCCAATGTCATGTATCTGAATATTTCAAAAATTCATCCCAAAGAAGTTAATAAACGGATAAGCATAGTATCAACTATCATCACCATTATATAACCACTTTCCTATAAAGATAGGGTTGGCTATTGACCACATTATCATAGTAAGAGCAGATGAAAACAGTTGGCATTTTTATGGTATTTGTCAACCTCAGATAGTTCTGATCTATGTTGCAATGAAACGGATACGTGTACGGGACACGGTAAATTTGTAAAAGGTAGGGTATGTGTACACGGCTCATTTTAAAAGTAGATACTCAACAAATCCTTTCAAAGCATAGTTTCGAAGTGGGAATGGGCTAAAACGAACCCAACCCATGTCCACAAGTTTCGGGAAGCAGATGTGAAGACGTCCAAGAAGAATATGACAAATGTTTTAAATTAAAATATGTGTTATATAATAGAGTACATGTGTGAATAAATGTATGCATGCATTCAAGTGTCAGTGTCCGCTACGTGTCAGATGCGTGTACAACTTCATCATACAAGTACCCAGGTAACATAGGTTTTAATAAAAGTTCTTTGTTTAAAATTTTATTACCAGAGAGGGGCTTGCCTTAGAACATATTCAACCACTTGCAAGTTGCAACCAATTTTATAGCCTGCCAGAGCTCAACAATATAAGATTATTTTTATTACCAGCTGAGAAGAACAATCTGTCAGGTTCCTCGCCAATAAAAAAGTGAGCTATGTCAAATGTCAAAATGAAAAGTAACAAGGTGTGAAAGGAAAGTTAAGCATTAAAAGGAAAACATATTTCAATAATTCCTTGGAGAAAATGCAATGAGAAAATATGAGTGAGCAAAATTTTGTTAAAGTTAAAATGCATCTGAACAGCATAAACATGACCATATAATTTGCATGGTCAAGAGTGTCTTACCAAAACCTGGTCCATGCACAAAGGCGTCAACCCTCCTCGAGCAAACCAAACATTTTTCACCTAGTGGGAAAATTTTCAACATGAAAGAGAGACAGAGTTATTTACTAAGAGAATGTAGTGTTTGGCAGAAGGGGGAAAAAACTACTGATGGGCAAACACATTCAGAAAACAGAAAGGGAATGAAATGTTTGATAGAAAAAATACTTCTTAACATATTTTATTAAGATAGCAACATGCTGATTTATCTAATAAAAACTTGCGGATAGAAGACATTTCTACATAAGGGGAAACAATGCATCTTCATTTACTTCCAAGTTTTAACCCAAAATCACAAATTATCCTACAGTAAAACATACCAGACATAAGCTGCCATGTTTCCTTAAAATAAAATTTCATCATGAACTATCCTACAATAAAACATAGCACAGGTTGTCTGGGGACGCAGCGGTAATACTGCCAACACCCCCAAGTCCCTGGTTCGAACTTGTTTGTCTAACCTGGAGTGTAGGAATAGAAAGTGGGACCCACACACCCATAGTTTACTTGGTAGGGGTCAGGGATTGAACTTCGGCCTGGGATTCTCATGCCTTGCCAAGGTTTCCCTCATATCCGGCGGGCAAAAAAAAAAAAAAAAAGGGGAAAAGAAAGAAAAAGAGAACATGTTTCTACCCCTAATGTAAGCACGACGAATAAAACTATTGTGGCCAGCTACTTGTTTCTGACTATATTTTGTTTTTTTATACGCTGAAATACTATGGTCTCCAGAAAACTAACACATATTTGTGTTCCTTTTACCAGAAGCATGCAACTGCTATGGAACTAATTTCCCCGATATAGGCTTCATTTTTTTTTAAATTAAATGAGAAGGACCATTTCAATTTTGACAGCATCCTGCATTCTACCAAGTTCTCATCATGAACTGAATAATTTGGACCAACTATGCAAGTAGGTGACAAATTTCATTGACTTTAAAAGAAAACACTACAATCCACTAATGGGTTGATGACAAAAAGCCCGAATTTTGTGAGCAAGAACAAGTCGAGCAGGCCAAAATTACAAATGGGTTATCAACAAAATCATCAAAGAATAATCCCATAACTACAAAATTAAAAAAAAGGGTTAATACCTCGGAGGATCGAACAGTGAATTTTCCAAGATGGCGAGCGACCTTGGTGATGAGATCCCTCCAGAAATGGAGCTTGGGTTCCCAATCCGATCTCTGCCCGCTGAATGCTTTGAATCTGGCGGTTGAGATGACCTCATCGTCCCAATCCTCAACTTCTCTCCTCACAAATTCCTCTACTTTTGATGTAGAAGAGGAAGAACTCATTGGATTAGAATTTATTTTTAGATTCTGCCCCTTTTTTCCCCAACCTTAGTTGACAGTGGAGGGTTTTGAAACTTCAGAAAAAACACTTGAAATTAGAAGGTAGAATTTGGGCTCATGTACGAAACTTTGCGCAAAAACAGTTATAGCTTTGAGGCCTGGTTTGCGGTGGGTTGACCGTAAAAGCCTGCAAGTCTCACCCTTCTACAGTGCAAAGCTCTAAAAATTTATACGGAGAGAACAGGTTATTATTGACTTATTGTCTTGTCCATCCAACTTTTTTTATGTTTCTATTTTGTTCTGAAATTTATATTAGCATCCGATACAAATCAAATACATTTTAAAGATATTCTTAATATTTAAGACGATTCTGAAAGTAAAATCAAAGCCTAAAAAAATTAGTGGACAAGAGTTCTTATTCACAAAAAGCCAAACTAAGAGCAAATTTCACTAAAATCCCCAATAATAAGTTCTGGCGCTGACACGTAATCCCCAATAATGAATTTCCAATAACTTTTAAAAAAATCCCAAAACAATTTTCTTTTGCACTTAACCGACAATGTCAGCCATGCTCTTTGAGTTTTCAAACAATGACATCACACAAACAAATAATTATTGTGGACTTAAATGAGAAAAAAACAAAATAAATGGGGAGTAATCTCAAATTCCAAAGTTATTCGGGGTTAAATGACATATATCCAAAAGAACTAGCTGCTAAAAAGTGTATAAGGAGTGTTTTCTGCGTGCTGGGCTCACCATATATGAACAATTGCTTTGTTTTAATATAAAAAGTGTATAAGGAGTGTTTTCTGCGTGCTGGGCTCACCATATATGAACAATTGCTTTGTTTTAATCGGCCTTCTGAAGCATAATTGACAGGCAATCCAATCTATGACGAGATATTTGTTGGGGAGAAACCCCTATGCCGAGATCCAACCAAATAGCTGAAAGAGATAAACTAACACACCAACAAGAGCACAAACACAATCAACACCAGATTTTACGTGGTTCGGCGAGATGCCTACGTCCACGGGGCAAGGAGGGGGGAGTTCTCACTATTAGAAATCAAGGGGATATAACTAGGGTTACAAATCTCTCATAAACCTTCAACAAATCAACTCTTGATCTCACCAATTGCTCCTAGCATAGAAGCCCAAAGAAAACTCCTTTCAATAGCTCAAAACACTTGCCTTACAAACCTCAGAATCGAGTTTGGATATTTATAGAAAACCCAAACGAATCGGGTCTGAAAACAGACCCAGCCAAAAACCGCTTCGGCGGTCGACCGCGGCGGTCGACCATGATCCATCGCGGTCGACCGCCCTCAATCCAGAACAGCACCCGAGGTCCAGAGACTTCTGCGGTCGACCGCGGCGGTCGACCGCCCACAGAACAGAAACTTCTGCGGTCGACCGTCGCGGTCGAC